GCCCAGACGACGGAGCCAGCAGCCCAGGACGGAGCCCAGGACGTCGGAGCCGGCAGCCCAGGACGACGGAGCCAGCAGCCCAGGACGGAGCCCAGGACGACGGAGCTGGCAGCCCAGGACAGAGCCCAGGACAACGGAGCCGTTGCACAGGACTCTGTCGTGCTTGCTCAATGAGTGGGAAGCACACAAACATACCCACACTGTGTACTTCCGGGGTGCTACAGTGAAAAGAGGTTGAGCTCTGGCGTCAGAGTGCTTTAAGTGCACGATGTAGCCCAGATTTTTATAAGCCTATGTAACCTGCCAACACCTTAGACTCCTTGCTTTTAACAACACAAACAATGCCAGTCCTTCCAAATGGTTCTCCTGAAAAGAAAGTGAAATTACCAACCAGAAAAGCCCCATGTATGATGACAAATATGAGCGCTCAGGAAGAAACGCTGGTGCCCGGGACTTCTGAAAACAATTTAAGTTCTCTTCCTATCTTCTCTCTAAACTCCCCCACCTCCCCCCAGGACCAAGGGCACATAACGCCCAGCAATATTCCTATTAACTGCGAAAGGCCTCAAATAGCGCCGTCACCTTTTCTATCCATAGAGTGGTCTCTAGCCAGAGAAAGCAAGAACTGTGCGAGTTTAGAGAAACCAGCGGACATTGGTGAATGACTCAAGGCCCTTGGCGACTGAAGAGGCCCTTTCTGTTAAGCTAATGCTCTTTTCCTAACTAATTCCCATATAAAGTCCCCTAGTAAAGGCAACAAAGTGTTTTAAGCCTGGTGCTTACATATCTTTACTTTTATTTCACCAAATGCTTCCTCCAATCCAAATCCACAATGAAAAGTTAAGATAGGTTAATGAGAGAAATCCAAAAAAGTCTTGTATTTCATGAAGACACTTGAATTTTTTTCCTATATTATTATTTGACCATTATAAGAAGTTAACAGGTGTAACACAGTAAGTTAAGCATCACAATAAAAAGTATACTCTGGTCGTAACCGGTTTGGCTCAGTGGATAGAGCGTCGGCCTGTGGACTGAAGGGTCCCGGGTTTGATTCCGGTCAAGGGCATGTACCTTGGTTGTGGGCACATCCCCAGTAGGGGGTGTGCAGGAGGCAGCTGATCGATGTTTCTCTCTCATCAATGTTTCTAACTCTCTATCCCTCTCCCTTCCTCTCTGTAAAAAATCAATAAAATATATATTTTTTAAAAAAGTATACTCTGCAGCATGCAATATTCAAAGTACAACATTCTCTCGATAAGGAAGATTCTACATCATTCTGTCAGATCAGTGTGCTACAATGATAAGGAGCTATATTTTGTAAGTCAACATGTAAACGTAGCCCTTCCTGGCTTTGAACTGCCCGCGGAGTGTGCTTCTGAGAGAAAGGAGGTGCTGACTGCCCGCAACAACCTGAGCCTGTCACAGGGAGGGGTCCGCTGCGTCCTCATCTATTCTATTAGTTACAGCCCAATGTAGTCATGGTAACGGCAACCGGCCAGCATTAGGTAGAGGATCTGTTTACAACTCATTCGGAAACGTTCCTATCATGCTCGTCATTCCCTCGGCCCACTCTGTTGCAGCAGCTCCTGAGCGCACACTGCGCTTCTGGGAGGCTCCCCGATGGGCCCCTGCAGATGCTGGAAGACTTTAGCTCCGCCCCCTTCAGTCTCCCTGCAGCCTGACCCGTCCTGCCCCCTGCAGAAACCACACCTTCCCCCAGCCTGCGGGGACCCAGCACCAAGGGACTGCTGGGTCCTCTTTGTTTTAAATCCCACTAAACCAGAAATGGCTCAATTCACAACCTGTTTCTTAACCACTAATGCTCCTGGCATCATCCACCAAAATTGTTAAGCAGATTCACATGGAAAAATACCTCCCTGATTCTGCAAAGCACAGACGCTTCTTTGAAATAAGCAGCAGCCCTGCCAATCCTTCCAATCCAGGCCCACAGGGAACCCAGAGGCCCGCAGCAAAGGAGCCAAAACACACGCAAGCCTGGGCGGAAGGCAGGCTTTTCCCAGGCTGTCAATGCCCGGGTCCCGCCTCCGCTGGGCCTGCCTGTGGTGCAGAATCAGCAAGCAGCAGCGGATGTGGCCGGGCTTGCTAACTGGTCTCCACTCAGAGACAGGAAAACCAGTGAGTTTCAAACTAAGAAACACGGCGAAAACGCTAAGTTGGTTTTTAATCGAAAGGGCTGGTATCCAGATTCGTAACCAAAGTCAGGAACACGTAGGCCACTAATGTTCCTGAGGGATCGAGAGCAGGGAGGTCACTCGGAAAAGCTGTGTCCTGCCTCCACAACGTGGCTGCTCGACGGACACTTCATGAGGGAGCACCAGGCAGGCCCCATGCAAGCTCCTGGGAACCGTGAGGCTCCCGGCTCACACCCCCCGGAGCAGAGCGCCGGGAGTGTGGACTGTGCCGTGTAGAGCGCTGGCCGGCAACTTTACTTTTCATTTCATGTTATGTTTATTTTAAAAAATGAAAAAGACAAAAAAAGTTATTGCAGCTGAAGTACACAATTAGGGCAAAGATGGAACTAATTAGGCAAGATGCCAGCAAATCTTTAGCTTGAGTTACTTATCAGAAATTGTTTCATAATGAACGAAAAAAAACCCACAATTTAAGAAACACTGGGAATGCACTACTGCTAATTGCATATAAAACAGTATTTTTAGTCCTGGCTGGTTTGGCTCGGTGGATAGAGCGTCAGCCTGCGGACTGAAGGGTCCTGGGTTCGATTCCGGTCAAAGGCACATGCCCGGGTTGTGGGTTCAGTCCCCAGTAGGGGGTGTGCAGGGGGTAACTGATCAATGAGTCTCTCATCATTATTGTTTCTATCTCTCTCCCCCTCTCCCTTCCTCTCTGAAATCAACAAATATATATATGTATATAGAAAGTACTATTTATACATGGTTTGTAAACAACCCTCTTACATAGGAACGCTTCCCATTTGAAAAGCCAGGTATTGCTTATGAAGCTACTCTATTAAAATTTCACTTTTCTTCAAGATTGATTAAACAAAATTAGATCATTAAAAGTCCTTGCGTAAAGAAACTAAAGACAACCTAAATCGTGGGAAGACATCCTATGTTCATTGACGAAAAGAGTATCGCTGAGATGACAATACTCCCCAAACTGAATGCAAATAAAAGTCACAATGAGATGCCACTCACACCCACTAGGTTGTTATTACAAAGAAGGGAGGAGAACGGTGTTGGCGAGGATGTGGAGAAACCAGAACCTTTCTAAATTGCTGGTGGGCCCTAGCTGGTGTGGCTCAGTGGATAGAGCATCGGCCTGCAGACTGAAAGGTCCCAGGTTTGATTCCAGTCAAGGGCATATGCCCAGGTTGCAGGCTCGATCCCCGTTAGGGGGTGTGCAGGAGGCAGCTGATCAATGATTCTCTCTCATCATTGATGTTTCTATCTCTCTCTCTCCCACTCCCTCTCTGAAATCAATAAAAAAAAAACATATTAAAACAAACAAACAAACGAATAAATTGCTGGTGGGAACAACATGTTACCACCACCACGGGAAACAGCAGAGTTCTTCCCAAAGTGACACACATGATCCAGCAATTCCAGTCCGAGGGGCCGAGAAGCGAAAAACCTATGCTCACACGTGACAGGCACACGAACGTTCGTGGCAGCATCAGTCACAAGGAGACGGTGAGCTGTGGCGCCCCCCAGGGATCGGTGCTCAGCATGGAGACAGACGCAGGGCCCATTTCCACAGCAGGAAGGCGCTCTGACAACATCCCGCGAAGGGAAGGAGCCAGACGCAAGGCCACGTGCAGTGTGACTTCGTCGAGAGGACAGGCCCCGAAGAGGCAAGTCCAGGACAGAAGGCAGGCTGGCGGCCACAGGCTGAGAGGACGGAGGGGAGTGGCTGCTCGACTTAACGTGGGACTTTATTTTGGGACGATGAGAAGGCTCTGAAATTCAGTGATCATGGCGGCTGGTAATGCTGTGAACACACCAGAAGCCACTGGATCATATCCTCTAAGTGGTTAAAGTAGAGAATTTTACGTTGTACGCATTTTGCCTCAATTTAAAAAAAACCACAACAATGAACTGAAACTTACACAGCAACATCTGAATTCAAATAACGACTTCAGTCCTTTCAGTATTCTTGTGTCTATATTCTTTTTAAAAAATATATATATTTTATTGATTTTTTACAGAGAGGAAAGGAGAGGGACAGAGAGTTAGAAACATCGATGAGAGAGAAACATGGATCAGCTGCCTCCTGCACATCTCCCACTGGGGATGTGCCTGCAACCCAGGTACATGCCCTTGACCGGAATGAACCTGGGACCCTTGAGTCTGCAGGCCGACGCTCTATCCACTGAGCCAAACCGGTCAGGGCTTGTGTCTACTCTTAAAATCTACATCTAGAAACCGAAAATCAGAGTTTGCAACTGTGCCATTATTAACAGTTACGAGAGAATATTTCAGCTCTGTCTACCACGAAAGGAAGCAAAATAAGAGAGAAAAGTTCACATACTAATCTTGAGAGACAGGCCTGTACTGACCACAGCACTCTCCTGCAAGCAAGCCCACTGGTCTCAGCAAGCTCTCTCCCAGGAGGCACACAGCGACCAGCGGGGTGGGGGCGGGGAGCCGGGAAGGGGGGCAGCGACTCACCAGGCTTTTCCGGCTCCTCGGGGCCCGTGCCCGCAATGCAGCTGCTCTCCAGGCCGTAGGTGGGGTCCACTTTCCCAGAGGCTCGGGCTGCTTCTTGCACTTTCTTGACATGAGCTTCCACCAGTTCCAGGGGCACCTCCTCCCGGACCCGAGAAAACTCCTCTGTTCAGGAACACAAGGGGACGGGGACCTGGTTTCACACAAGCACGTGCTTCACGTACGTCACCAGGACACCCCCCCACACGAGGGTCTTGTGTGCAGTGACCCTTCTGGGGACTCGGTCCATCCTCCCAGGACCACAGGACAAATGAAACACCGCGCACGGTCATAAAAATCTGGTGTGTGTCCTAGTATCTCGCTATATAATAAGACAGATCCTTGAATTTATATCATTAGCAATCAAAACTGCTGTCCAAATTTTATCCACCTGCTTGGCTAGATTGATAATAAGGAAGACAGCAGGCACAGCCACCAGGACGCCAAGGAGAGTTCTGCGGCCCGATGACGGTCTCGTTCCAATTAGTATGGGATCCACGAATGTCACATGACTCCTTTTGCCAGTCACATCAAATTTCAAGTGAATCACAAAATATACTGTAAAAAATACTGACCCCCCATTCTTAATGCTTTTAACTTTAAAACTACTACATTTTAAGTGCTTCAGTCTAAATTGTGATCCTTTAAGTACAACAGCATCGAATGGGTTCTTGTTATGTAAGTAACTGCAACGAATGCAGCCCAGGAGGACATTTAAGGGGCACTGGGTGAGGGAAGCAGGAAGCCACTGTCCGCACGTGCATGCGGTGAGAGGGCTCCGTGGAGTCCGTACCCAGAGCCGCTTTAGCTGCAGCAGATGCCACTCGAGGGTCCACCACCGATGCCAGGAAGGCTACTGTGCTCATGACGGGGTTTCCTGACTGGCTGAAGGGGACCGGCTGGTAAGCCAGGGGCCCCAGGGAGGCGTCCGAGTTCTCCAGGTATGGGTCCTCGATGGGCAGCCGCAGGAAGTGCAGGATGCACTCGTCCTGCGTGCGGCTGCCCACGTGCTCCGACACCTTGTTCCAGTCGTCCTTGTACATTTCCAGGGCCTACGGGGAACAGACAGCCTTCATGTTGTAACAAGGACGTGCTCTGTGACGACACCACAAGCCACAAGCCTGTGACTACTTTCAGATGTTTTTAAAACAACAATGAAGATGGTTTTACTCTACAGTAAAAGGGATGCACGTCGTACAGAAAACCTGTGTGTGATGAATACACACGAGTGTTTACATAGAAAGTCCTGAGGAGCCTATCAGGGAACCAACGCTGAAGGTACTGGAAGGTCACAGGGTAAGAGGGAACAGAAAAGCTCACTTGTGCAATAAAAACAAGTTTAACTGGGGGAAATTAAAGTATTTAAAATAGCACAAAAATGCAATACTAAGGAATAAATACATGAAAGAATGTGTAAAGTCCACAAATTGAGAAAATAAAACTTACTGAGAGAAATCAAAGACCTAAACAGATACTGTGCTCACTGACAAGCAGTCTCAGGACGGTTCGATGTCAATTCTCTCCAAACTGAACTAGATCAACGCAACCCCATTCAAGCTCCAAGCTTTTTTTCGCTAAAAATTTGGAAGCAGTACTAACATGTATGAAGGACACAAACCTCTAGTTTTAAAATTTGTATTTTTCATAGAAAATGCTGAAAAACTTCAATTGAACAACAAAACTAAAAGCCATCTCCCCCAAGAGGGAGGGGGATAGAATGGAAAAAAACCAGAAATACATGGAGAGTCGAGGAATCAATTGGGTAAAAAGAATCTACTCAGTAGCTTCCCAAAGTTCTCTCGAGAGCCGTGACTCCGGGCCTGCAGCAGTGTCTGGAGACATTGCGGTTGACATCACTGGGGCGTTCTACCGGCATCTCCTGGGAAGAGGCCCTGGGGCGGTGGACAACGCACCTGAGAGCCCAGAACGCAAAAGCGATCGGCCACGTGCCAGTGGCGGCCGACTGAAGCCCCTGCTCTAGAACCACAGCACTGTCACCTGACTGCATGCCCCTCAGCTGTTAATTACTGACAAACACACCACACAAAGAGGGTGCTGGTGGAAAACAAAGCTGCCGGAAGCCTTTTATTTCTCTCTATGAGCGCGGACAACACCTGCCGATTCAAGTGTATGTTTAAAAGAAAACCAACCACGGCACAGCGCCACCTGCAGGAGGAAAGGCACTGTGTGTGAAGGACGGGGCTTTGACAAGGCAGGTGAACAGGGGCCGGCCTCTCACCCCTCTCTGTACTCATCCGGCTGGTCCTACACGGAGAGGAGAGGAGGAGCCGTCCTGGGATCAGCTTGCAGAGGGAGAACTGATGTGAGACTGCTGGTGTGGCACAACGAGGTTTCTCTGCAGACCCCAGACTCTAGAAGAACCCCCACAGTCCTGAGCCCTGTTAAATGAACCTCCATGGCAGACAGGACTAGACAAAACAGTCCTGAAATTTAAAAAGAGGCTCAGAAAAGAAGCTCTCTGTATATCACTGATACTGAACGGGCAGATGAGAATAAATTAAAATAGCAGTAAACACCCCAAAAGAAGCAATCTTTTTGGATTTTGATCCAGAGAGCGAGCAGTGGAAAGACTCTTGGAATTGCCCGCCTGCAGAAATCCAGTTGAACAACCACCACCTTGCGCTTGAGTCTGCTGCAGCCGCTGTCCTGTTCCTTGCAGGCAGGGCACTGCTAGCGCCTCTGGCGGTAAACACCCTCACCCGGTCCCACGTCAGCTCCACAGGCCCATCTACACTAACACCGCGCCGTGTCACGTCTGTTCTGTAGCTACGGACAAACGGTCCCTCTTCCGAAATGGCTACTAAACAGGAAACCAAGTCTCCATGTCCTGCCCGTCCGAACAGACCTGACCGCCAAGACCGACGTGTGCAGCACGGTGAGACTCTCCCAAGCCACGAAGAAACCCACAGGGGACTCAGTACACACTAACAGGACGCTGGTTACTCTCACTGTTCACCTGCCCGTGGCTTTCACAAACCAGCAGTGCTGTCCGTCCAGGGCTGGCATCTTCAGCTACTTTGGAGTCTCGGGAAGGAGGCGGGCACACAACCCAAATGCATACAAGCACTGGGGACTCATCCACATGACGAAGTGGGCTGAGTTCAGAAAAACTGGACCTAAATCAAGGCTCAACCTCAAAGGCACGTCTGCTGTCCCCGGCCAGCAATCACTGCTCCGTGAAACCAGGTCCCAGAATGGCCAGGCTTTTCCATTTTGGAGGAAAAGTTAGAAAACTTTAGCAAAGCTCCAATATTTACTTAATGTTGGCACCAGATTTTAAGCAAAAGAAACCCAACCTGGGCCAAAATAACACATACCCAGGCTTGATCTCCTCTACTGAGAGCCAGTGTGCAACCTCCAGGTTTGCTACTTAAACAGTAATTACCCACTAAGCCAGGGGTCCTCAAACTACAGCCCGCGGGCCACGTGCAAATACAAATATTGTATTTGTTCCCGTTTTGTTGTTTTACTTCAAAATAAGATATGTGCAGTGTGCAGAGGAATTTGTTCATAGTTTTTTTTTAAACTATAGTCCGGTCCTCCAACGGTCTGAGGGACAGTGAACTGGCCCGTTTAGAAAGTGTGAGGACCCCTGCACTAAGCTCATTACACAGATGTAAACATTTCAGTCAGTGCCAAGGCCGATGCCAGCGCCAGTCCTGAAACAGCGCTCCCCCGCGCCCCCTCCCCGCACCCTCCTCCCCACGCGCCCCCAGCCGCCAGGCTCCGTGCTCACCTCCAGCAGCAGCAGCGTCTCTTGCTCCGTCCACTCCCGTCCAGCGCTGGCACCTTTACTCTACGAACAAACCAGAGTTACTTCCCGCCTGCGCCTGGCCTGGAGCATGGCTCCCAGCAAGCAGAGCAGCGGGGAGCAGGCCAGGAGCCCGAGCTGCTCGCAGGAAACGCTGACCATTTAGCCGTGTTATTTCTATTCTGATATTTGAAAATCCCCTTTGAAGCTACAAAGGCAGTGGTTGATGTGTCTCACAAGTCAGCTCTACTATTGTAACCACAGCAGATACTGGGTGAAACTCAAGAAGTACTTTTAATCGCTTAATGAAAAGTTTCCAATGAGCCCCTGAACCCCAGGTTGCCTTTCCCATGAGAATCCCTGGCGCCTTACAGTCCATGTGAGCGCTGAAGGCGTAAGAATTAACATTTATCTACTGATTCCTTTTAAAAAAATGTTTCTTATTGATTTGAGAGAGGAAGGGAGAAAGTGAGGGAGAGAAACATCAATGATGAGAGAGAATCATTGATCGGCTGCCTCCCGCACGCCCCCACACCGGGGATCGAGTCCACAACCCGGGCATGTGCTCTGACTGGGAATCGAGCCATGACCTCCTGGTTCCTAGGTCGACACTCAACCACTGAGCCACTCCAGCTGGATGATTCCTATTTTTATTTGCTTCATTCATATTTGTAGGAATGGATATGTGGTATAATTGACATTCTTTTTGCTTAATACTTACTCGAGTGATTAAAAACACTGAAATGCTACTTTAACGAGTTTCAGCTTCTTGGTTAAACACTGTAAGCCTTGTTGAAGCAAGGCCACCAAAAATCTTCATTGCCTCCCAAAAAAGTTGGGCGAGAAATGACATTATTCTTTACCTATAGATGTGACTAATTCAAAATATACATTCTAACATTATCTCTTCTCTGAAAATTCTATTTTGGAGATTACAATTTGACACATGAAAAATATCTGGACAGTCCGTGATGTCCTTGCTGTTGTCTATAAAGTTTCTTGATTTATTTCACGCAGCCTGCAAACACTCTCCATGGTATTCAGTACATACCATTCTGAATTATTTGCAAGCAATGTACTGAAAATACCAGCCCTTTGACGAGAATAAAGAGGACTCTAAGCCCCGCAGAAACCAGGTTCTTGAGGTCCTGCTTTGAGAGAGTTGACGCATGGAGCTGTACCTCACAACACATCGCTCAGGTGCCTGGAGGGTGCCTTTCAGAAAACCAAAGGTTCATCTTTGGATCACCAACATTCGAAGTGACCATGAATCAGATCTGGAGTCCCCAGAGGAACGAAACTCATGAACATTCCATCTTAATTCTGAGGAAGCCACACCCACACAGGGCAGAGCTGCGCCACCTCGGCACGGACGGCATCCGCCGAGGGTCCTCAGCTCATGTCCCCACTCCTCAGCCGCGGACACAGGAGGGTTCTGCCCACCCCCTGGCCCAGTGTTTCTCCTCCTAGAAACTGGCTCACAGCCCTGCTGGTTGGCTCCATGGTCAGAGGTCGGCCCAGACTGAAGGGTCCTCGGTTCGGTTCCAGTCAGGGGCGTGGACCTTGGGTGCAGGCTCGATCCCTAGCGCCAGTCGGGGTTTGTGCAGGAGGCAACCAATCAGTGTGTCTCTCTCACATGGATGTTTCTGTCTCCCCGCTCCCTTCCACTCTCTAAAACAAAACCAAAACAAACTGGCTCACAGAAGAGTACAGAACCTGATCGGGGCCGCGAGGTGTTTGCTGGGGCTTTTGCATATTTTAGAAAATTTCCTTTTGTACTTATTGAGGTAAGATATGCACAATAAAACACACGTATCTTAAGTGCAGAATTTGATGCAATTTTATGCACACATCCATGTACCAACAACTGAAATCAACACCCATTCTTTTACTTTCATCACTGAAGCGTCTTCATAGTTAAAGTGAGTTTCTTATCAACAGCATATGCTTGTTCTTGATTTTTTATCCAATTCGATAATCTACGCTGCTTCACTGGAGCATGAAAACCATTTACAGGCGAAACCGGTTTGGCTCAGTGGATGGAGCGTCGACCTGCGGACTGACGGATCCCGGGTTCGATTCCAGTCAAGGGCATGTACCTTGGTTGCGGGCACATCCCCAGTGGGAGATGTGCAGGAGGCAGCTGATCGATGTTTCTGACTCTCTATCTCTCTCTCCCTTCCTCTCTGTAAAGAATCAATAAAATATATTTAAAACAAAACAAAACCCATTTACAATTGTTATTACTATCTCTGTGGTCAGATGTAAATCTACCATTTTGTTGTTCCTACGCTCTCCGTGTGTTCCTTCTGTTCTCATCTCCTGCCTCCTTGTGAAGTAGCTTTGTTGTGGAGTAGTATTCTATTTTTGTCTGCTTTGATTAGTGATGATGATATTGCTAAATATGTCAATTCTTGCTGTGAAGATGGCGATTTTGTGGAAGATATTGAATATGTAACTTCATTTACTTGCGATTCATAATTTTTTTCCTAAACTGCTGTAAAATCAGCAAAAGTGCCTTGGCAATTTTACCATAGTTCCTAGGATATTAGTTGGCACTCAAAGGGTTAAATAGTTGCTCTGCCCAGCTGATGTAGCTCAGTGGTGAGCACTGACCTATAACCAGAAGGTGGCAGTTCGATTCCTGGTCAGGGCACATGCCCAGGTTGTGGGCTCCATCCCCAGTGTGGGGCGTGCAGGAGGCAGCCGACTGAGTCTCTCTCTCTCTCATTTATATTTCTCTCTCCCTTCCTCTTTGAAATAAACAAATATATATATTTTTAAAATAAATGCTCTAAGATGTATAATAGTCACTCCTAATTTGTCACAATGTACCTTCAAATAATAGTTTAACATCACACATTTAAGAATTTCAACACAATATACTTCTATTTCGCCCTCCTATCCTATGTTAGGTCCTTAATGTCCATGTGCTGTAAACCTAAAGACGTGCTGTTAGCATCGTGAGTAGAAAGAGCCAACTATCAGCTTTAAAAACTAAAAATAAGGGGAGAACGACTTTCACGCTGGCCCACACGTGACCTTCTGGCTCTGTATTCTTCCAGCGACCCAGTCCCCTCCCAAAATGCCTTGTCAAATCACCGCAGTTCACCCTGAACCAGCATTCTCTCTCGAATCATAAATGAGTTTTCCTGCATCTCATGTGCCTCTTGCTCTCCGTTGCGTCTGTGCTGCTGCATCCAGTCTTTCTCTCGTGGTCCTTTAGTTCAATAATCTAACCTGCCCGAGGTTCATTGTCCCTGCTGTTTGCTCTATTCAGTCTATTAAACTCATGTGTTAATTTCAGGTATATATATATATATATTACATCCCCCACTGGGGAAGCGCGCGCAACCCAAGTACATGCCCTTGACCGGAATCGAACCCGGGACCCTTCAGTCCGCAGGCCGACGCTCTATCCACTGAGCCAAACCGGTTTCGGCGGTATATTTTTATATTATACAATATTCATTTGACTCCTTTTGTATATTCCAATTCTCAGTTGAAATTCTCATTTGGTCCTCTATTGTATTTAACATATTAATCACAGTTATTTTTAAATACTTGTAACTACGCAGAAAAACGGTAAAAGTGACTGTTCTTTACAAAATGCCATCAGATGAGTAGAAAGCTCACTCCTTACACTTTAGACAGTAAATTAAGCTTCTTCTGGGAATGACATTTCATAGAAGGCAGGAGGACAAAGAGGACGTGCTGGGTTGTGTCAGTGTCTGTCTAGGAAAAAAATCCTTACCTTTGCCAAGGTTTTTTTGGAGTAAATGTCAGTACGGAGACCAAAGTTCTGCAGATCAATCGGTTTTTCCTTGTTCTTCTCGGGAAAACTTAACATCTGCTGAGCAGCAGGAACCTATGAGTCACAGAGAAGACAAAGAGCCGCATCACCTCTACGAAGCCCAGGGCGCATCGGCTCAGCACAGGAGACCGGCTGCCCTCTGAGGTCCCACCCGAGACCCAGCCCTGGACCCTCCTCACAGACCTCCAGTCCAGTCTGCCCTCCCTTGGCTGGAGCCCAAGAGAGAGTGGAAGGGAGGGGGGAGGCAGAGAGAGAGAAATATCAGTGAGAGAGAGACAGCACCTGGCTGCCTCCCACAGGAGCCCTGGCCAGGCCCGGGCATTGCACTGAGCCTGCAACCAAGTGGTATTTCAGCTCCAGGCCCAGATACGTGGGGAAACCAGCCACGGGAGGCCTCAGGACCAGCTGCACTGGACGGTGACCCCCCTGCCCTGGTGCCGCCGGCCCACAGTGGAGACCACACCCTGAGAGGACACACCTGGGAAGCTGCTGCACATCCTACTGAGATCTTCCCCTGGGAGCTGCCCTACAACCTCTGACCTTAAAGCCCTTGGGATGGGGGGGGGGGCAGCCAGGGAGAGATCAATGGGGGGAAAGGAGACATATGTAATGCTTTCAACAATAAAGAATTTAAATTAAAAAAACAGCCACCACCCTTAGGATGGAGGACCCAGCTCGCGCTCCCTCCAGGGTGCAGCCCCCACCACCACCGCACATCACCATTAGCTTCTTCCTCCCAAGCCCACAGGCCCTTCCTCCCTTTACCTCTAGACCAGTGGTTCTCAACCTTCCTAATGCCGCGATCCTTTATTACAGTTCCTCATGTTGTGGTGACCCCCGATTTCATTGTTACAAACGAAATATAATTAAAGCATGGTGATTAATCACAAAAACAATATGTAATTATATGTGTGTTTTCTGATGGTCTTAGGCGACTGCTGTGAAAGGGTCGTTCGACCCCCAAAGGGGTCGCGACCCACAGGTTGAGAACCACTGGCCTAGACCTTGTTTGCTAAGCCCGTTGCTTCTAGGAACTACTTTTCCTGCCTCTGTGATCTGCCCAATAAACATACTCTGTTAAGGGGACAGAAGTTTTTGAAGAATGGTTCAGCCCTGACCGATCTGGCTCAGTGGACAGAGCGTCGGCCTGCAGACTGAAGGGTCCCAGGTTCAATACCGGTCAAGGGCACATGCCTCGGTTGCAGGCTTGATCCCCAGTAGGGGGCGTGCAGGAAGCAGCCGATCCATGATTCTCTCTCATCATTGATGTTTCTATCTCTCTCTCCCTCTCCCTTCCTCTCAGTATGTTTTTTAAAAAAGAATGTTTTAATAGTGGAACCTAATAAAACAACCACTACTGGTAGAGACTCTACAAAAAAATAAATACTAACACTTTCACACCCTTTTCTAGCAAAATGTTAATACCTAAGAAACACTTTCCTGTCTCTATTAAGTCACAGAAAAAATGAGAACACGTTTTCCTAAACACGCTGCCTGTGCTCAGACTGACAACACTTTCAAGAACGTGTGCGAACGTCCCCTTTCCAAACGTTCCGAAGGGGAAGGAGTTTTAAGCCGCGTCAACAGCTTTACACAACCTGCTGTTTAATGTGTGTCTTCGAGGGCGGAGGGTGAGGGACTCGTGAGTCGGAGAGAATGTGCCCCGCGTGGCGGAGAGGACAGAGCCCTGGGATTCGGGGGAGCGTTTCCTTCCCACTGAGCGATGCTGGACTCACACTCACAACAGAGAAAAGCAAACAGCAGCGAGCAGCTGAAAAGAGCGCCATCACGCACTGGAGGCGGGTGATGGTGATGGTGATGCCTGAAGATGAAATTCCAGGAGGAGGCTGCTCCCTGAAGAGGGCAGAACGCACGTACCTGAGGGGATCGAAGGTGTAGAGGCACCAGCCCAGAGGGGGTGTCAGCCAGCACGTTGAAGTGGGGCGTAGGCGGGGGTCCCATCGCCATGGGCCGGCTTTCCGGGTCCACTTGGTAGTTAACAAGGCCCCACTGCTCTAGGAAGGCGTGGACCCTGGAGAAGCAAGCTCCGCGTTACAGCTGGAGAACATGCTTTCCATTTAAAAACAAACAAACAAGCGAGCATCTTCCCCAGGTGGTGCACCATGAGACGTCGTTGGCCATTCTGGTTTATGGCGGGAGGAGGGTCTCCAGGCACCGCAGGCCGGGCACAGAGCCTCATCTCCCATCAGCCATGAGGGCGAAGCGAACACTCGGCGAGACCTGGGCGGGACTCACACACCAGTCGGGCAGACCGAGGCACAGAGCTTACCCGCTCCCCCACAGCCCACTCGCCACCCGGGGCATCTTACAATTTGACTCTAAAATAAAAGATCATAAAATTCCAAAGCATCACCAATATTCAGCCCGAGTGAAAGACAGGACACTGGGCTGTTCTTATCCGGCAAGGAAACACCGGTCCCTTGATCGGACCTCAGGCAGCAGGTCTAGTCAGGGAGCCTGCAGGGAAGAGGCGAGGCGGCAGGCGTGTACCTCATCACAGCACACACGTCGCCAGTCAAGTTCCTCCGACAAGCGGTGCTGGTCAGATATTCTTGGGGGTTCAGGCGATATGTGTCAATCATAAAATTTCGATAAGCCAAGTATCTAAAAAGCAATGGCAAAATTCTTAGAGCGGACACACATCCTTTCAGAAACAATAACACAGAACGAAAAATCTGCATATTCCTCACAACTAAATAAAACAAAAAGTTTAAAGGACACTCCAGCCAGTAAGTGACACTGAGTATTTAGTCAACCAGTGTAACAGGGTAGGGCCCCTAATACGCAGAACAGCTCCTCACGAACATGAGGAAGTAACACGGATACAAGCTGGGTCAGCGGTGAATGGAGAGCCGCCTGCAGCCTCCCTAGCGGACGGCCCCGGGCCCACAGGTTCCCACCCGAAGGTGGAAAGGACCGTTTCCGATTCACAGTTCTGGCCGACTCTACAGACCAAACTCTCGGACACAAGGGGCTGACGGCAGGGGTCCAGCACGTCCGTGATTTCGCCTCCGCGGGAGCCTGGGGGCCACCGTGCTGTCTCCAGCGCCGACTGCGAGGCCGGGCCTGGTGCTGAGCACCCCCTGCCCTCCTCACTCAGCCCGGGGAGGGGCACGCGCCAGCGCCCACGTTCAGGAGACAGAGGCACCAGGCGGCACAGGTCTGTCTCGGGCCTCAGCCCGGGGAGGGGCAGGCTGGCTCCAGCGCGGACGTGTGCTGCGTCTCATCTCTACGCTTTCCTCGAGCCCCGCGTGGCCTTTGCTCTGACCTGGCTGTACACCTGCCTGACAGTTTCTCCGGCAACGAGGAGAAGCCATGAGGCCAAACTCAGAGGTAACACAGAACATTTCTCTTTAAAGAGAGAAAAACAGATTGGGGGTCAGAGGAGAGTCCACAACGTGCCCAAGCATTTCCGCCACAAAATAAAGTGAGAGTGCGAAGAAGCTGGAGACCTAGCAACAGTTCTTGCAGCAGAAGTCAGACCAAAGCCGGCAGCCGGGGTCAGCTGCAGGCGAGCAGGAAGGCGCTGCTCCAGCAGGGCCTGTGGCAGCACCGGGGCCAGCGCAGCCTGGAGGCGAGTCCACAGTTAAACGGACTGACGTGCTAAAGGTGCGTCTCAGCAGGAGACTCCCAAGGCCCCTAAGAACTTACAAATGCCGGCAACTCGCCAGTCAGGTGGCAGCACGGACCACGACTGGACAGAGGAAGGAAGTATTAGGACACTCAGGGTCGATCGTGGCAAATCCGACTCTGGCTCCAAATGACCCAACAGTGTTTACAGCTGGAAGACTGTGTTTCTCTCTGCCTCAAACCGCCCTGCACAGGCTCCCCCAGCCCACACTCATGATCCCATCCTCCCCCTA